ATCAGAAAACAAACCGAGTCCTCGAATGTAGCTAAGCATACTAATAAAGAAAAGCATACATTTGATTTTACACAATGTGAGACTCTAGCTCTTGAAACAAACTGGCGAAGAAGAATTATCAAAGAAAGTCTATTTGCGCACTAAATGAAAGGAAAAGCCTTAAATGACGTTAAATTTAAATTAAACATCTTTGCATAAAACTATTACAAATTTATCAATTATGAGTCAGATTATTAGCTCTTGTCTATCTATGTCTTTTTCTTCTTCTTTTGATGTATTATCAATTGGTGATCACATTATTGGCTTTTTCTTGTTCTTTCTCTATCTGTACTCTATTAATTAGCACTCTTACTATATATAGAGAGATTGTATTTCACTTTTCTGTTTTTCCTGATGATGATAAGTGTCTCTTATCGAAAGCTTGAATAAACCGTAAATTATTTTGTATGGTATCAACTTCGGGAACTAAAGTAACATTAACTAGAGAAGAAATTCCATTTTTTATACTAGTTTGAAATACAAGATACTGATGTATTTTTTAAAAAATAATCCCTTTTAGTTTTTGAGATATATGACTGTACTGAGATATATTGCTGATTATTGTTTAAAAAAGCAAGTTTTTTCAATCACTCCAAATTTCCAGTAAGTGACCTTGATGTATATGTGAGTAAAAAAGTCAGTCTTAGTGTTATATAACAGAGCATTGTGTATTTAGACATGCCTTAACTCGTTTTATTATGGATAAAATCAGAAAAGATCTCGGAAAATTAGCAGAATGGATCTCGGGAGGAAATAAAGACAGAAAAGATTTCGAGAAAATGTCAATTAAGCATTTCTGCATAAAAGATCTTGGAAAAATAAATTTATCTATTTATGCAGAAAAGATCTCGGAATAACGAAGAGTCTAGAAGGAAACCACCAGGGTTTTGTTCATGCAGATATGGTGTCAAAGAATACTCATGTATACATGTAATTGGTTTAATAATGATGTGGGGTACAAGATTTGACCCACAACTTATTGGTAAACGTAGGAGAAGAGAACGTCCAAAAAAAAATAAAATTAGCATTACAACAAGACTAGAAAACTGAACTTGTTCTCTTTTTTTTTATTTGTGCCATATTCTTGTAAGTGTTGCAAAAAGTTTCGTATTGAAGGATCGTTTTGTCAAAGACTGCACTGTTTGGAAGGTATAATATACGTCGGTGTGAGAACTTTTGCTATTTATTAATTAATTAATTATTCCGAGATCTTTTCCGCAGAAATGCTTAACTGACATTATCCCGGGATCTTTTCCAACTTTATCTCCTTCCGAGATCCATTTTGCTAATTTTTCGAGATATTTTATTTTTACGTCCTTTTATTACAAACTTTTAAACATGAAGAACGCCGAAGTTAATAACGCCGTTATTCCCGTTTGTCTTATTTTCATTGCAAAAAGTTGCTTTTTTAAACGATAATCAGCAATATTCACAGTCATATACATTTTTGTACATCACTGTTGTTGCCTCGTAAGACATTTCTGTATCACTAGACGTTTCTAAAAATCGTAGTATAATCTCTAAAACATTTCCACTTTACAAATAAGATATTCATATCGAGAAAGACATGGACATTTGCTGACAAGTTTTTAAACGAAGATGATCTAATAGTATTTTTAACCCAAAACAAGGTATCAAAGTTTCAAAGAGAGAATGTGAGAAATAGTATTGAAATAACCTATCGTTGTTCAACGTGTATAAAACATCCTGCTTGTGATTTTTAAATCAAATTAATCTTTAATTCACAGAATGAAATAAACGTTTCAAAAACCAGTTCACATAATCTTATACAAACAGCAGTTCAAAAAGAATATAATGTATCCATAACACAAGTAAGATGCACGGAAAGCAAACTTGCAGTCAAATTTATTTTCGAACATATCATACACTGTTAGATAGAGGACTTCATGACGGTCAAGAATATATATACCTTGATGTTTTTTTGACACGATCGAAAAATTAAAACACTCGAAAGGTGTCAAAAATGGACATTTTTTCGTCTTTTTTGAAATTCACTTTTTTAAATTATGTTACGAGATGGAATGTTCTAACTTGTTGCAAATCTAACCATGTAAAAATATTGACTCTAGCACTTATAGTAAAACCTGTGATAAGCTTGCAAAATTGTATTTTGTTTTTGAGCCATGGACATTGCGTAGTTTTTTGTGAATAGACGTTTTGTTCTAAAAATGTTCCATTTTCTAGAAGACTATTTTCTAATTCAGTTTTCAACGCTGAATCGGGAAAAACAAGTTAGAACATTCCATCTCGTAACATAATTTTAAAAAGTAAATTTCAAAAAAGACGAAAAAATGTCCATTTTTGACACCTTTCGAGTTTTTCGACCGTGTCAAAAAAACATTAAGGTATATATATTCTTGACCGCCTTGAAGTCCTCTATCTAACAGTGTATGATATGTTCGAAAATAAATTTGACTGCAAATTTGCTTTCTGTGCATCTTAACAAATTTGCTGAAATATCATCGATCATTAACCAGATCGACTGTCCATTCTGTTGATGTTCTTAGGATAACATATTGAATAAATATATGTTTAGAAATCGAAAAAAAAAGGCATAAATGATGCACACGATGGAAGTGAAAGACGTCTCAGCCCTTTGATACACCATGCAGAAAAATATCTCCGTGTAGACTACTTATTTTTTCCATGTAGAACTAAATAACCGTGCAGTAAACAGACACTCTGTGCAGTATTTCGGAAAAAAAATTATAATCCGAACTTGTTGGCTAGATATGCATGTTTAAAGAATTAAAAACAAATAGATGCATGAATTATCTGAAAAATTAAAAAAATAAAATCATAAACCAAACAAAAATAAAAATAATAATATTTTGATAATTGCTATTTAATTGTTTTTGAAAATCAGATAGAATTACGATCGTTTGTGTTTTGAAGACGCACCTAAACATATAAACATCAAATATATCTATCAAATTTTAGTTTAAAAATTCTGAGGCTAATACCTGATATTAAACGATTATAATATTCCCCAACATAATATAATGCAACACTGAGTAAGGTAGAACCAAGAAAAAATAACTTCCGATACCAAAATGGAAGAAATTTAAAAAATGGATAAACCCATACTGCAGCATTGTGATAAATCCAATAGACCCTAAATAAAATATTAAGACACTCATTTGAAAGGAATTAGGCTGTGACTAATGGAATGGGAGTACAGTGAATATTTTTCACTAGACTAGTGGACATTAAGTTTTTTTATCATCGGAAATGATTATTTTTGACTTAGAATAACTCTCTATACCTGCGAATAATAGCAAAAGTTTTAATGTGAAAAACCAGATTGTTTTGAAAAATCCACTACGACACATCCAGAACGATTTAGACTATTTGGATGCTAAGTTCTTAGATGAAATAGATGTAAAGGAATATTTGTGTGAAGTTTGAGTTTTGTTGGAAGGATGAAAAATGAGCGGAAGTTCATTACACTGAAGAGACTATTTTTGAAAACATTATTAGCAGAGAAAAATGTTTTTTTGTCTATCACAGTAGAATGAAGGTCAATTATTTTTTTGTCAGAAATGTAACAAAAATATTAGGATTTAATCATAAAATCATTTTTCACCCTAAACTTAATTTAAATGTGAAAGAAATTCAATTTTTACTATTCAAAGTGTTTCTTAATCTTTTTCTCCAGTTTCAGTGATTTGCCCATCGTTTCAATTGAAATAAAACGCTTCTTTATTCAAAAAAAAAGATAGTCCTGAATTTGAAAGAAAGTAAAAGAAGATCGCTTTCATTTTTTTTTGCTAACTGTTCACATAAACGCTCACTATGGAAGTTGAGGTTGTCCACTATTTCCAGTGTTGAAAAAATTATTCATAAACAATTTCAATACCGAAAGTATGTCTTTGTTTACAATTAAGAATAACTTACCAGATTATATATGCAATAGACAATAATACAACTGTTATAATTCCTAGTGTGCGTGACGGATATTGATGATTATGAAAAAAACATTCTAATAGAACACCAATTGCTGGCAATGTATGCTATATAGAAAACAAAAGATAATAATTTCTCTTAACTTCAGAGTATGGACATATTTTCTCACCATACAATGGTTTAACATCGGTGTAATTAATTTTTCAAATTCAGCTGGACATATCATTTCTCGATCGATAATATAGATACTCCAGAATGTAATTGCAACAAACTAAAAAGAAAATAAAGATAGTTTCGCTCATTCAATGATTGATTTACATACAGTTCCCATTGGAAAGGCAGCAGTAGCATATATATAATCTCTAATTTTTTGAGTCAACGATCGTTTTTTATTGTTCTTATTATTAGAACCAATAAAATAGTTAATGATACAAATTATAAAATAAATCAGTTGTAGATACTAGAAGATGATAAAAAATTTCAATATTTAATATGAAGTATCTCAAACACACATCTAACCATATTGAGTATAGTCAAAAATTTGTATTTTCCACCGTAAGCCAAAGCCACAGCCAAACTTTCATCAGTGACAATTTCTTCCATTTCAAAACTTATACCCCATAACATGGAAATAACCATAAATATGGCCAACAGTAAACCAATTAGGTTCGTAAATTGACGCTTATCCATCTTTTTTTCAAACACTAGACGAAATAGAATAAATTAATGACATTCTCACAGTGGGCAATGAGCGTGACATTAGGTAGTACACTTTTTCAAGATTAGAATACATCGTAATATAATTTGAAGAACGCTCTATCCAATTGTATAAAAAAGTTTGTTATAAGTGGCAAAAATCATGGAAAAACATATAGCCAAAAAATACGTCAAAACAGTTTGGTAAAGCAAAAAAATTTTTTTTCTTATTTAAGAAGAGAAAGTCTAAAGCGCAAACAATACATAATATAATCTACACACTTTCGATTATCGATAGATGAAAAATTTGTTTTAGTTGGACTTAGCACATCAAACAAGAAATTTATTTTCTAAAGTTAGAAGTTCTCCGCTATGGTGTAGTGAATGAGTTTCGACGCTTTTTCCAACTCTCAAATTATCTGAAAACGTACCAAAATGTTTGTCTACATCCGCTACGTCTATGACACATGCATAAACTTTTCTAGAACTCTGTGGCGATTTCCCAAAAAACCTTGTTTTTTACGTAAAATCCATTTTTCTCGGCCCAGGAGCATTCTTCAATTGAAAACAAAGATGATGAAAACCAAGATGAATTGAATCGAATGGTATGTAATTCAAGTATATTTGTGGAAAAAGTTTTTCGTGTAATTCGTCCTGCAAACTAAGACTTTTGCTTCGGACATTGTTTTTTTGTATTTTCTTTTGAAATATCAGTAGCAGAATGTACAGACGATGATCCGCAATGACCGTAAACCAGAGCAAGGAAGAACGGGTGAATTATAAAGTTTATGTAAGGAATAGGAAGAGGTTCTGGATCTTTCGCCTGTTATATAGTATTTTACCATTAATGGTATAGTTGATAAATAGGTTCAGGTTACAATAGGTCATCTTCTTCTGACTAGTATACTGGTACCGCTATCTAGAAGCTTAAAAATAGGTCCCTGAAGGATAAAAAGATTTCGATCTCTTTCTAGCACACACTGCAGAAAGCGAATTGAAATGTGAGCACTCGCTTCCTTTTCTTACAAATATGCCATAAAAATGAAAGAAATCAGCAACTTGAAAATTTTATCTTTTTTCTAAAAGATCGTGGACAAAAAGCCGTTTACAAAGCAAAAAAAAAGAGATAAAAAATAACATGTTCAATTATTTACTGTTTAATTGACAATGAAAAACGTTTCATTTATATCATAACAAAACATATCAAACTATTGCGAAACAGTTTATTATTCAGCAACAAGAACTCTTTCGCGTGTGTTAGAAGCTTTTTGTCTTGTTGGTCGCTCCCTTTCACCTAAAACGTACAAGATAGCATTCACGTATGTATCGTATCGTACAACTGGAAATGAATCATACCTTCACGTGTAGATGAATGCACTGGAACATCTGGTAAATAAATAGCCTCTCCTCCTGTTTCTTCCTTTAAAAAATAATTAAAACAATGTAGAAATATAAAATTCACAATGATTCATTGATTACGTACTCTTAATATTTCTTCTAATTCATCCAATACATCTTGTTCATCTGTACGACTCAAATTACCAGATAAAGCGTTTGTCAATTCCTTCAGAAAAAAAATAAAATTCTTGATGATAACATTTGTATTCTTACATCTTTTGATAACACGATGGTTCTGTTAAAATATTCATTCACGTACCTCTTGATATTCCGCTGCTTCTCGCGTCTCCTCCATTAATTTTTCTACATCTTCTAATTTTAACATTTCATTCATTTTCTTCAAAGCATCTGTTCCTTGTCTTAAACTATTTACAACATTTACTTCAACTTGCGCAAATTCTAATTCATGTACCTATAAATATGAAAAATATTTGTTTTTATTAACATTAAAATTGAAAGATTTGGTAAATGCATACTAATTGTTCAACATTATCAAGTATGCCTTCGGATTTGTTCAATTGTGCTTCGAGCATACGTTTTTTTCGTAATAATAGCAGTGCACGACTATAAATAAGAACAAAGTTCACAAACATCTTTTTTTTCTCATCCAATGTATTGATTCGTACTCTTTTCGGCCATTTTTTATTAATTCTATGGCAACTTCACGTTCTTTTTCAAGTTGAGTTTGGATTCGCCGTTTATATTGTTTCAAACGATCGCGTTGTTGTTTCAATTGCTAAACAAATAAAAAATACGACTATTAATACGTAGTAAAAGGCTGAAGGATATTCGTTATGGTAAAATGTCGTACGCGCTCATGGATGAAGAGAACAAGAAAAGAAATTGGTACCGTTATAGTAATACGTTTGTCCGTGAGAAACAGATACAAAACAAAACAATTGAGACCTATCACTCAAATTCAACTATCATTATCCCATACTTGTTTCTTTATCTATGCTGAGAAGAATGAATTATGCTCGATAAACTCCCTTCCATCTGACAATTTCTATTTTACACAATTAGTACAATTGTCATTTTATTTGTAAGCTACTTTCTCAAAAGTAAACAAAAAAAAACACATAGGACATAAAATACTGATCACAGTTACACATTTTGTTTTTGAGATTATCTTGGGTTGCGTAAAAATAAAAGCATTCTATTAAAGTCGTAAAAAAACAAAACCATACGAGTAACGCAAAAAAAATTAAGAAAGTAAATTTAAAATCTATAACTTAATACGTTAAAAAATATTAAAATCTAAATTAAAATTAAAAGTTAAATTAAGGACGGAATAAAGAATAAAATAATGATCACTAGATAGTAAAAATATAATAAAACTAAGAATTTCATTTCAAATGAAGTTCAGGTAAAACACACAAAAAAAGAGTGTGTAGAGTTTCATTCGAGAAAAAGTCCCCCAAAAAAGATATCAAAAATAAGTATATTGTTTAGAGTTCGAAAAAACGAAAGAATAACTCATCACTTAAAATCCCCAATAAAAGAAATGCACGAATGAAGAAAGAAAAAGATGCTTGTTCATTGTCTAATAAGTTTAAAACATACTCTGACAACATCATAAACTTTAAAAATAAAATGAAATAAAAATGAGTATTAGTCGCAGAAGCAACCCATTTTTGAGGTATTGACGAGGAATGTCATTGATTATCTGTTTGTTACTACTCATTTTCGTTGTCATCTGCAATATATTGTCGTGAACGATTTTGTTGTTGAAAATAGTTATCAAAATTAGTTAATAATAATTTTGGTTTATTCATTAATGTTTGTTCTAATTGATTCAATACTTGTTGCGTATATTCAATTGTTAACATTTGCTTTTTCCATATATGATAAAAATTGAGAAATAGAGCAATAAATAAATCTCCAACTAAAGTTGTTACATTTTGAGATGTTTTATACATATGTTTTAATTTTGTACGTCGTGATTTTTGTCGAAGAAATTTAATTAATAAATTCGCTAAATTGATTCCAATTAAACAGAATGGAAATTGTTGATTTGATGTTAATGATAAATGGTAAATATCTTGAGCCAATGGTAAATACATTGAATCAACAAAATAAAGTAACATAAGTACTGAGAAGAGACCAGATGAACGAAAATCTGTTTCAGGAGTATCTGTTTGAAATCCAATATCTTCCCAATGTTTTCCGTGTATAGAATGATAAACATAATTTGATTTTGTTAAACGACGATAAATTGTGTACAATATACGAATATGAACACGATCAGTCATATCATATTTGTATGATGTTAAATTTAACAATTGCAAACATTGTTTTTCAAATGTATCGCCAGTTTTTTCAGCATCATTTGTCCTACCAAATATATTCAATAAACGTGCAAAAAATCCAACATGTTTCCTTGGTGGTGGTGATGTAGAAATTGTCATTCGAGTTGTGGAAAATAAATATAATTTGGCATCAGCAAAAAAGATATTATCGAATGGCATAATATTTGTCACTGGTTGTTGTGATATTTGATTATCACCATTAATAACGTACGTTGCCACATTGAGCCATTCTTCTTCAGCATTGTTTTGCTGTTGTTGTTCTTCTTCTTCGTTTAATGAAATATCAGCTGGAATAGATTTACTTTGATAAGACGCTTGATTATTACTGTTGTCAATTGGTGTATAAAGTTTTTTTGCCACGTTATGAGCTGGTGGAGATGGAGAAGCAAAATGATTGATTTCATTTGAATCTGATGCTGTCGAAAAAGTAAATGTATGTTGGTAAGTTGAACGATACAAAGGTGGATCATCTCCATCGACGACGGTTTTATTGCTGTTGTTGTTGTTGTTGCTGTTATTATTATTTTCTTCATCATTAAACTTAAACAAAACATCGTTCAAATCGGCTGTAAATGCATTTGGATTAATAATAGTGTCCATCTTTTTTTTTCTTTTTACATCTGAAATAGTTGCTCTTAAAGTTGCAGCAAAAAACGACAAAGAACAACATATTGCATAGATAACAATCATATTAAACTATCAGAACGAAATAGTAAATATAAAAATTTTTCCTTCTTACTAAAACAGCACGATCTTGCTCAGTGATCTGGGTTTGTTGTGGTTTTTTATGTTTTTTTGAAAGTAAATGTCCCATTGGTGTAAATCGAATCGAAAGAAAAGAACAGTTTTAATTCTTAACTATATTAATAAATTATTTTTATTATTATACAAGATTTTAAGAAAAGAAAACTCGAAGGTATCTAAAACAGATAAAAGCACCTCATTCATGTTTGAGTATGCAGAAGAGAAGCCAACTAATGACGAAGCAGAAACAAAAGACGTAAATATTAAAGATAAATCATAGATTTCAGTTTTGGATATGAGAATCCATTACGTCTATAGTAAGAGATAATGGAATAGAAGAAGGAAGGAAAAAGGAACAATTAGAACTTTTTTTCATCATCATCTGACAAACACACTAGCCTACTTTAATAAAACCATTAGACAGACTAAGCAATATTCAACACAAGATTTAAGATCTTTGCAATGAAAAAACAAGAACTTAAACAAATCTGCTAGATGCCTTTTCCGAAAAGGCATTGAAATGCTCCGAAAAGCATTTCAGCCCAATGGCTGGAACTGCTACTTTATTGCACGATTATATCTGATGGGGTCCTGCCGTTATAATGTATTGTTACTACACCGCTGTTCGCTCAAATTTTCCAGTAAAGTGGCGCCGCTGAGACCCACACAACTTACTTTTTATCATAACCTGAATAACGTACGTAATTAAGACAAAAAACATAAAAAGATCAACAAGAAAGTATATGAAAGTGGAAATAATTACTGAAAATATGGTCAAAGAAAAAATCACATTATGATTTATACAGAACATTTCAATAAATAAAGAACAAAATGAAACTGTGTGTTTTACATCACAAAATAAGATAACTAGAACAAAAATGAAAAATAAAACAGAATTCTGTAATAAAACGATAATCGCAAAACTCGAATTAATAGTTTATCAATAAAAGAAAAGATCAGTATTAATAAGGAACAAAATAGAAAAAATGGATTAGTGAATGAACTAGAGATGAAAGATGACTAATAAACTAATATTTCTTTCCCGTCTATATTGATTATTCTATTTTATTGTGAATAGGGATGATTGTATCACAGCGTCGCATTTTTGAAAATTGATCAATTCTAAAGGGTAGCCTATACAATTTTATTTTCTTATTCCTTTTTCTTTTGTAGAACAGTTTTATAACATATTACGTATTCAGTTTTGATATAACTCTTGAAACAAATTATTTAAAATCTAAATATTAAATACATCGAAATTTTGACTGCAAATCACAGTTTTACTTACTACCTGCTGTTAATACTCTGTTTCTCTAGATACACGACCAATATATTAATATTACATGTATCAGGTTATATAGGGTAGAAATTTTATTAGTCTAGAATCTTAAAACCTCATTTCAATCCCTCAAAAAAAGAAAATAATAGTAGTCCATCCTTGAGCTATGGGCCACTCTTGATTCTGTCTAATCACTGTTGAAAATAAATTGGAAGTAAATAATCATGCTCAGATTTTACACAATTAAATTTATTACTTTACCTAAAAGCTTTTGTACACATAAAAGTGTTTTACTTCTTGATCTATAGTGACCTGGTCTGTATGAGTTTATAGTTACGAAGGTAGCTAAAATCTGAATATTTTCAGTTTGAAATCACTACTAGATATGTGCATGTCGGCCTAATGTAAACGTGCGTGACGCAATTACATTTTTTCCACTTCTGAGCCCTGTTTCTCCAAATACTTAACGAAATAACTCAACGAATGAAATTTTTAGCAGATAAGTGCGATAGCATGCGTGGTTTGTGATAAAAATTTGGAATAGAATGAATCGGTTCAGTTGAACGGCTTTGATAAGCATAATAGATGTCGTGACGGAATTACATTTTTTAGCCTTTTTTTTCTAGGGCTCTACAAACTTTGAAAATTGCTCTGAAACGAGACATATTCAGAAAAAAGTCTAATACAAAAGTTGTAGAGGGTAAAACGAGCTTTCGAATCATATATTTACTTTCACTTACAAACGCTTAAATTGAAAGAAACAAGCGAAATAGCTCCGATTACATCACTTTTTTTCCTTCCTTTGCAGTTTCTATCAGTAAAAATACCTTTATAAATTTCATTTGCACGGAACCTTATGCGATCGAGTACGCTCTATCCAACTAAGCGAAAAAAAGTGGGAGAAATGTTTTTGATTTTCGTAAAATTGCTCCAAAATACCGTTTTGATTTCGACAACAACCATTAAAAACTTGTTTAGTGTGTAAGATACGTTTTTAAGGTTGTGTTGACGAAATCAATAGCAAGTGCATTTTTGTAGAGAATTAAATTCTTTATCCAACGGATACTTTTTAAAATTTTGTAAAAAACTAAGTAGGTCAGGAAATTGAAATAAAAAAACTTCAGAATTTAAAATTTGTGCTTTCACTTTAAAAGTTTCAGTTTCGTTTGTTTTAATCAGCACAAAAACCTGTATCTGATAATGAACTTTTAAGGCTAATTTGAGCAAAACAGTATGGTACAACCCGCTGCAGCTGAGAATGACAATTAACTGGCCAAGCCGATCTGAGAAAAACCAAAAGAAGGATTTTTACCTAAAAAATGTATTCGATACGTATTTATGCGTGAAATATCCGTCTGGGAGACAATATCTCTCTTAGAAAAAAGTATATGATTAGAGCCAGTCTAAAAATTGATATTCTTGTTGTAAAACTGACATGTAATTTCGTCACGCGTGTTTCCTTCCCTAAGAATCAACTAAAATGCAAGATAAAATACGTTGTTTGATAGCTCTCGAAGTGCTCAATCCAAATATCTACTTGGTTTTCTCCAGAAGGCATCAGGTAAAGCGTAAAGAGAGTTATTCCCTGTTTTCATGACGAAATTACATTAGAAATGAGGTGGATTTACGAGGCTATTTCTCCTGAATGGGAGCAATAAAACTTAGAACCAATGTGATCATCGGAAAGAGCAGATCATTTTCTATCAGAACACATACATTTCTTTCAGTTAATGCTTGTGCGGAGAACAGAATAAGCAACTAAGCAAAAGGGTCCATTAGATATATATCTCTTGCAACTGGCTGACTAATACAAGCGCGTATCGCTGCATACGTAGTGTCACTTTATGATACTGAAAATATTGTATCTATACGTTTTCGATATCGCTCTTTAAAATGGCATTTGTAGATTTCTCTCATTTCAACCTTCATCCCACCGCGACAGAGAGTGACAGTTACGCGTTTTAGCCGATATCTGGTTATTCACACTAGCTATTTTAATAACAGTCTGTTGTTGTTTTTACGAGCATCTTTATTAAATAGATTTATTTAGTCACATCACGATCAATCCATATTTATGACTAGATAATAGTTGTTCACTGGAACTGTCTACAAACTCCTTCACGTATGATCGACAAACAAGTAGACATAACCACCTTGTCTTATATCTTCTAAACTTTTTCCAACGCGTAATTGCAAGTTCTATCAGAACGCCTCGATCATTTACTCGAAAAAGTATTGTCGATCTAATCTAACAAAAGAGAGTACATGTTGAATGGCATAATTCTACTGATGGATAACGAATGTGCTTTTCAAAAGACCCGTTTCTAGTTGTTACAAAGGATGAAATGGTAGATTTGAAACACGTTTCAAAAACATTCCAAATGAAAAACAGCTTTCTTCTTGTATGTCGAATAATTGCATTAAATGCGAAGTTTAACATAAAACTATAAGTTTAGAAAAAACCAGGGAGATTTACAGCCATAATAAAATAGAAGCACATTGAAGCACTAGTATACTGTGGAAAGAGTTTAAAGCCATTTTTATCATCCGTTCTATTTTTTTCATATTTTTTGTGGAAAAGAAAAAAAAGTAGAGAGTGAATTTACAATAGTTTTTTATATATTTTACAATTACTATCGTAAATGGGGTTTGACTTTTTCCATTAGCATTAGGGTAGTTAGGCTGATGCCTATAAAATAAATGAAAAAGTATTTTCATTTCATTTTATTTTATTTTAAAAATCACCTGGCTTTGAAAAGAGTTTGAGAAAAAAAACAATAAAACAAAGACTAAATGTTTTTAGTATCAATAGCAAGAACAACATAATCGAGAAAAGCGGCTAAAAAGTAACTGTACTAGTATATATCCCATGTGTACCACAAACGCACAAAAAACCTAACAAAAAAACAAGAATGAAGCGATTATTGTTTTTTCCCACTCCATGAAAATAAACCTTTTGCAAATCCCATAAATCCTTGTTGCTGTTTTTCATTACCACTTGTTGAAACCGTCGGTTGTGTACGTTTGCTTTGTACCTTATCATCTAACGATGGAAAATTTAAATGATTTAATGCTAAATCGAATAAAACTGGTTTACAGGGAATCGGTTTAAATGGTGGTGGTAATGATACAACATTCACACGATTTTTATTTGCTAACGTTTGATCTTCATAATATATATCCAACCGATCGATAAGAGGCTAAAATTTTAGAAAGTATTAAATTTTTATTACACACACACACACACACGCACGCACTTTTTTCTCAATATCTTTTTCTTCTATTATTTCATCATTGTGAACTTTTGGTGAGGAAACAGTACTCGTTGTAGCAGAAGTTTGAATCTGATATTTTGTTTCATCGATTAGTGATTGAATAAAATTAAATTCGTTTAAAAGTGTCTAAATAGATTATATTGTTATTATTAAAGAGAGAAAGATATTTTGAAATGTTTTTATTACTTGATAATTAATTTCACTATTTTGTGTTTGAGTCATTGCTTTTGCCTGTTGCATATACGATTCACATTTACAAATTAATGCAGCTGAATCTTTAAAACGTTTTTGTTGAACAAACGATACAGCAATATAAAAAGATCTTAAAGTGGACAACAGTTTTTCATATATTTACAATGAAAACTTTGATTAACACTAACCTGCATGCTTTATAAACAGCTGTTTGAAACTCAATGTCTGCTTTGAATATTTTATCATCTTGTAATGCTGGTATGCTTGACATATCATTTAGGCACTAAAAGATAATTAGATAATTCTATTAACCTATAGACAAAACTTTTGACTCTTAACATTGCATACATTGAAGTACGAACGATGTCCACTTTCTTTCTCTCTCTCTCTCTCTCACATGTGTTACTAATCTGAGATTTGTTGCAAAAGTTACCATGTTTTGTCACTTGAACAATACCAACCTGAAGTAAAAGATCATACATTCGAACAATATCAGCTGGTTTTGTAATTTTTTTTGATGTTGTCAATAACATATCTTCACCAGAATTTTTTGTTGTTGTTGTTGTTGCTGGTGCTTTAAATATTTGTTGTTTTGCATTATCAATCATAGCCAAGTTTCTTTCAATCATTTTTGATAAACGAATTTTTGATATGTAACTGTAAAGCCAAACATTATCAGATAACTTTTCATTACTAACGACCGATGCATCGCGTACTGGTTTATACGTCTACAAAAAGACAAGAAAAAAATGTCTACATGGATGACTTTATCAATCAAACAAAACCAATGACAAGATGAAAAAGTCTATTATTAGGAAAATGTCATGAAAATACTTTCTCGTGGATATTAAAGTTATAAAAAAAGAATTCTTATTCTCTAAAGAAAATAACTCTTGTTTTCTAAGAGTTATTATTTCACATACTGGATCATTTTTTAATTCGTCTTTGACAATTTGTAATGTTTCAACAGCTTCTTTTAGAAAACTTTCGTATAAACTCATTTTCGTATCAAATGAAACGCCACCTTTCTAAATGAGAACAAAATAGAATAGTACAATACTTAATCCAATTTCTTACTTTACCTTGATTTCATCTTCAAACTCTTGTTGATTCAAAAAAAATAATCGAACTTTATCGTTTTTAACTTGTATTTTACGATTTCTCCACATTATTTCAGACATCGTTGCGGTTTGTTGTTGATGAGTTTCGCTTAAAAATATCTAATAAAACAACAATATATCAAAGTCGTGTCAAACATGTATTAGACTAGACTTACATCCAAGATTCGTGCCATTTCTGGATCATCTACGGCTGCTTTTGTTCTCATATTTCGCAATTCTTTTGCAGCATTTTTATCCCCACTTTTATATTGACAAAATCGAATATTCGTAGTTATTTCTTCAATACGTTGTACAATCATTTGTTTATCGTCTTCGCTAATTAAACCCGTTTTTAAATTATCATAAATTGTTCTAAAATAGTAGAAGTAAAGATAGATAGTATTAATTTCATATGGTCATATTTTTTCACTAATGCTGAGCAATGTTATTTAATTTTCTTTTCTAAATTTAGACTTGTACTTTTCCGAATGTTTCGTTCTAAATTTGTTTTACGAAGTATATTTTTAATAAAAACAAGCTTACTGTGCGCGAATATAATATTGGAGCGCCTGATCCCACATTTGCATTTCAAATTTACAATGACCACTCATAACAGCCGTGTAAGCCTTTTAAAAAGACAAATGTTGATAAAACAAATGCGTTAACTCATTTTAAGTAAAACTCTCACTTGCACTTCAAGTTTTGTACGAGCATCGCATAACTTTTGATGATTACATAATACTTCTAATTGTTCTGCGTATTTAACAGCTTTACGTAATCGACTTAGTAAATGGAACTTTTTTCGTGGTTCAGTATTAGATTCACCTACAAAAACAAAACCAACGGATATAATTCAGTTTAAACATGGATCTACTAGCTAAACTTACTTTTCAATTGCATAGCATAAGCCCATGCACGCTCACTACACATCAATGGTAATAAAAGATATCTAAAATCCAAAAAAGGAAATGAGATCTTGTCATCATATTTCAAGTATGTTCACCTTGTATCTTTTGCCACTAAATCATCCGTGATTGTTGGTTTTAAAAATTTTTTTTGATTACCATATGTAAATTCTAATGATTTTCTAATGCGACGTAAGCGTCTCGAGCAAAATGACCTTTTAATAATGGAAGAACAGATTGATTTTTTCTGAAAAAATATTTACAGAAGCTAAAGTATTTACCTATAGCGTTGATAATCTCCATGTCTTAAACCATGTTGTTGTTGAGAAATACGAATAGTACGAAGAACTATAACGAAATATACAGGTTAGATGAATATTGACATCAAGTACTACCTTATAGATCTGACCTTCTAATTTTAGTAATGGAATGGGTTTCGTTGTTTGTACATGATCACCAGTAATTTCCGAGCGATTGGCAGAAGAAAGATCAGTATTAATGGAGGTGGATGTTTGACTTTGTGACATTTTGTATACTTAAATCTAAATAAATTGTCACATAAGATAATTGAGAAGTTCGTTAACTTGAATTTTTAGGATGAGTTCGTTAAGAACAATAAACATCTCAATGTGCTAAGATGACAGGAGAGGACGGGCAGTGAATTAAATTGACAGAAAAACGATTTTTGTCTGCGAATTAATGACAACCTAATCAAAACATTTCTTTTACAAAATGAGAAAAAACAGTTGACTTTTCGATCCACTATTTACCAGATCGATTCAGCTGCTTAACGTCACAAACTGTTGACAGTCAAATCTCTTTCTTCTGTAGATGTCGGAGATAAATAATGCGTAGAAAGTGAGGACACCACATCAGATACAGACAGAACAAGACGGGTTCTTTTGTTGAAGGACTTAATGGTTACTTTCAGCCAATGGGAGAAACTTTGTAGTCAATGATAGCATCTACAGGAGTAAAGCTATGTAAGTTATATACGAGATTTTGGGTTTAAACAGTTGTGATTGATCCTCGTGTGGTGCCTCTGAAATAAAACTTTTTTATGGAAAACAATAATATTTTATCATTCACATGTTTTTTGCATGAATGTGAGGTTGTCAGGGGGAAAACTTGGCTACCAATGTTTTTAATAGGAATTTTTTTCCACTTTGCTGTTAGTATAGCGTCAAAGTGAGAGTTTCCATTTTGATATGAAATGTTACGTGGATAAAATGCGAACAGTTGAAATTGTTGTCTAATACCGGCTAAAAGAGATTTTTTTAATCGTCACAGGGATTTCATTTTATCACCTTAAGTTAAATGGACCGAAATTAACTTGTCTACCCTGATCAATGACAAATTTAACAACAAACATCTTAGATGACTCATCTAAAACGAAATGTAACTAAAAGAATAGCTGTAAGTTGAATACTTCTGAAGGAAAGAAATGCTCCAAAACTTTTATACGTTTAGATAGAAGTCATAAATCCTTTTTGAGTAATATCCTGTTGATGTTAATGTTCAAACACTAGCCATGTCGTATTGTGATGAAAATTAGAGGATTAAACAGAAGTTATACTGATTCTCTTATTCACAAGTGTTCAACAAACAGAGATCGATGGGTTAGTTTTCTAAGGCAGAAAATATGAAAAAAAAATGAAGTGGAAATTTTCAAAACCAAAGTGAAAAACAAAGTGGAATATACTTTTCTCAGCGTGGAAAACAGAATGAAAACTCATTATTCACAGTGAAAATCCATTTTGCTCTCGCTTATCTCACTAATCATTAAAAACACTGTTCGCTACAGACAAGATGGTAAAATTCTTTTTTGGTTCAAACTGCCATCACAGTATTTTTAATACGGCAATTATGATATCTGATTCAAAATAAGTGAAGCAGTACTTTATGCTTCAAGAGACGATTTTTCAGAAAGCTACATAACACTCAGGTCATGACTTTTAGTTAGACATTTTAGACACATTTAAATATGAAGCTGTCTTCGGCATCAAAATGATCAAAATGTTTTATTTTTTATCCGTCGGAGGAAGTCAGGATTCGACGTAAATTTCTGACAATGTTCTTTTGTAGGCAATTGTAAGAAAAAAAGAATGTGCTCTTGCAGTTGATGAACGTCACGTTCTGAAGTGAGAATTGAATAAAATTCAGTAAAAAAAGAAAAATGAGCAATAATCTCTCGTGGTTCCTTTACATTTGTTTTATCTTTTATTCCTAATTAGTTTAGTATTTACAGATTGACATTTGTTATTTAACTGAACAATATTACCCAATTCTCGATATTCTCATAGATACTCATCACAGTCTATTGTGAGAGAAAGATGAGGTTGGAAAACATAGAGCTATTTAGTTACGTAAATGAATTATTAGTTTATAATTGTTTGATGAACAAAATTTCTTTTTTTTTCACACTAAATACTGAAATCAGACAGTTGCTCGTTCGTTGTGAAGCTATGTTAAGTAGTCCATATTTGAATGAACTGTTGAGAGATAGTTTAAGTTAGTTACTAAAATCTCACCGGACATGTTAAAAATATGAACTTTGGATGTTTCAATATTACCTTATAGAAAACAATGCGTACATTCTGAATGTTTATAGTAATTTATTACTTGGATAGATCTAAAAATTTTGACAGTTTCCTAAATATA